AACTCTGGATCTTGGTTCCCACTGTTTCTTTCAACAACACAAGACCTGTATCTTGGTTCCCATTAGTTATTTTGTAAGCACGGGCTTCAGCTCCCGGTTTCCCTTGTTTTTCTGTCAATACCAGCTCCAGGCTCCCATAAGCTCTTTGGCAAGCAACAGAAATACCAGCATGCCATGAATACTAAACACCATGTCTCACAGTTCACACTAGTATTTTACCAACACTAGACTCCTGAGGTCAGAATATGGAGTACTCTGACAGTCTTGGGACCCTGGAAAAATTGGCCTAAAAAGGTCATCCTACAAAACTCAAATACTTTGCTCTAAAAAAGCAGATCAGTACACCACAGACAGGTCAAAATAAATGGTATGTCCTGACAATGTAAAAACAATACAGCTCTTCCAGAAACCTGAGCACAAGGCTCAGGCAGATATAGATTCATTGTGTGCATGACAAAGCAGTATCAATGTGGGACTAACTTTGGTCTGCAGGTGGGCTGGGCATATGTAAAAAAATTATTGCTAGGCTTTGACTGGTGATCTGTGATATTGGGATGGCTTTCTGGTATTGAATATATATATATATATATATATATATATATATATATATATATATATATATGGTCACTTAACACAACCAAGCAACTTGCTTGCTTCTTGGTAATCCATGTTATAAGTACCTATGGCTGAGCCAGAGCTGACTCACATTCTTTAGCTCCTTTGCCTGCTAATGCCAGGCCCTGGTTCCAATAACTTTTTACACAACCACAGAGCCCGGTGACATCCAGCCGGTTCCTCGTTCTCGCGGATTTTTTTCAGGAAGAACACTCACGACTCCTTTGTTTGCCAAATCTCCATACCATTAGTCCCACAAGTTCACTTGCCAGACGCGCTCCTGCAGAATATGGTGGCAACAGGTAGATGGACAGAGGGAACATTCAAAGCTATTAACACCATGCATATATTCCGTTAAAATCGGACGCAATTTCATGTCACCTCCCCCGTACCAGGGGGTGTCATCCGTATCGGTTAACACTATCAAAAAGTGGCAACATCGAGCTTGCGTGAGAATACAGGTAGTTTGGCAGCAAAGCCTGCATGACGTCAAGTATGCCATATTTGATGACGTCAGTGGCACGGAAGCCTCTCAATTAGCCAGCTGACTGCTACACAACCCACTAGTTTGAATGGTGAGTATGTTTTGGGGGCGTGCGGCTGGCGCTTCCCGGTTGGACTCTGAATGAGTGGTCCACGGTTTTTTCATGCAAACACAATTCTGAAAGGGAGATTGAATCTCGGAATAGTTTGACCTCATCAGAATTTTATATTCTTCCGTAGGGGTGTACATAACTAGGGGTTCAGCGTCATGCGGCGTTTGCAGCGCATCGCGTGTCGCAGTTGCTTGGCTCTTTATATCAGTGGGTTGTGGCCAGTTGTCATGACTACGCCTCGTACGAGAGATCTCCTGAGCAGTTTGTCTTGAACAATTGGTAGCATTTAAAATGCTCGGTCTGTGAACATTTTATTATGCATATGTGTACAAACCCTGATGTAAAGAAACACTTGACAGTAGCATCATAAAGCCAATATCATGGGGTTTTACTGTACTTACCGTACTGCACTCACATCACTGTGATAAGAGCGAGAGCTATTGCAAATCAACATTGCAAATGGTCATATAATCATACCTATAAGCAAAGTAAATTATGCAAGCTGAACTGTTCAACTCTGCCACCAAACACAAACGGCACAGACAAGTCTACGGCTATCTAACAAGCCTGGTCATGGAACTGCAATACGCCACAAACGCCGCATGATATATAAACCCATGTTATAGCATCATGCGTGCAAAAAATCGTACATTCTGATGAGGCTTAACTGTTCCATGACTCACTGCTCATTCCAGAAATGTGTGCGAATAGCGAAATGACGGATAATTTCTTCTCAGTCCAACGGGGAACCGCCAACCGCACGCTACCAAGACATGCCCACTATTCAAACTAATGGGTTGTGTAACAGTCAGCTGGCTACCGTGCCACTGACGTTATCAAATATGGAATACTTGACGTCATGCAGGCTTTACTTCCAAGCTACCTCTTTTCTCAAGCAAGCTCTATGTTGCCACTTTTTCGGATCGGACGGTTCTACCTCGTTAGATAGCCCTGCCCCATACCGCAGACTTCACACCTCACAGCGACCGCACGCTAACAGTGCGTCGCCGTTCCACATTGCCATGGAAACCACGCCAGCTGAGCGTCATCTTCGGAAAAACGCGGTCTTATAGATGATCAATATTTGTTCCATACCACTACTAGATGGTTCTATGCATATATGCAAATGTATTTATTTAGGTGATATATTTATTTATATTTTATCTGGATTGCTTAATTTGTCTACCTCCTAGCCACCTCCGCAATGCCTAGAAGAATGCACAGAATAAAATGGAATATTCTAGAACATCTGGAATACAATATCTAGAACAACCGTGTAAAATGCTAACATATTCTTGGAAAAAATTATCTGAAAGTTCCATTCCCTTCTTATGAGCTGCGTCTCAAGCTTTTCGGCATATAATGTGCCCAAAGTGAATTTTTTATCATCAGAAGCTGCATTTCAACACATGCAAACCTTGCTTGTGTTTGACATTGTTGTGGATGATTTAAATTCATTATGACACGTTGGATGGTGTGTATTTTGGTGTAACCAATAAAAGGTCAATAAAATAGAACCGTTGTTCCGCATTCCCACACGGAGTAACCTTACCACCAGCAGCCTTAGTTCCTCGACGTCATATTCCCTTTGGGTTTTAGATAAACGAAACATGTGATACTAGCTTCCCTATCTGCGGCCTTGATGAGTGACGTGCGGTAGCGCCACATTGGTGTGCGAGGTGCAGTGCGAGGTGTTGTTTGTGGTTGCTGCGTGATTTCATTGATAACCTTTTTGTGCTATTCTCATGAAAACTGATATATATATATATATATATATATATATATATATATACATTATTCCTTATTTCCGTGATACCCGCACGGAAGAGCGGGCCTTTCCTTTCAGGATAACATTAGGCAGCCAACAGCCCAGTTGCAGACCTAGCAGGTCTGCATCACACTTGTGTCTTGACAAGCTATTGATGTTGTTCCTCTGAATTTGTAGTGTTATTAACATTAAAGAACAGCAAATTTGTTTTACGGTATATGAGGAACAGCCTGAGCAGATAACCAGCAATGTTCATAGACTTAATTTTATTAATTTACATTAAGGGCAGTATACCTTGCTGGACCTGAAATAGTGGGGAGCGTAAGCAGCAACTGCTGTTATGAAATCCTGGTAAGATTCTGTTTTGTTTTTTTTTGTTTTTTTTGCTGGCTCCTGAACATAATTTTAGAATGGATCTTAGTTCTTGCTGAAATTGAACCTCCATCTTAAGCTTGAGCTGGATCTTGGTTCTTGCTGGATCACTATGCATGGTCCAGGCTGGGTCTTGGTTATTGCTGGATCCCTCAACATAATTCCAGGCTGGATCTTGGTTCTTGTTGGGTCCCTATGTTGGACCCAAGCTGGACCTTGGTTCTTGCTGGATCTTTCGTCTTCATGTCAAGCTGGGTCTTGGTTCTTGTTGGATCTTTTGGCTTATTGTCAAGCTGGATCCTGGTTCTTGCTGGAATCTTTCGACTTACTGCCAAGCTGGTTCCTGAGTTCTTCCTGATTCCGGAACCAGGAACCAGGAACCGGTTCTGGGAAGAAATATTGGGAACCAGGCACAAGTCTGCCTGTCATCGCCTAGAATTTTGTCATATACTCAGCCGCCCTGGCTGTCCAGGTCCTTCGCCTTTTTTCGCAGTCGGGGAGAGCAAATTCAACCGTAGATCGAACTGTAACGTGAAGACACGGTAAGTCGTGAGGGTGAAGGAAAAATGTTTTTGTGATTGAACTATCCCATGGTGGAGGGCCGGTGTTCCCGCATTCTTTGCAGCAACAGATATCTCGGCGTCAGTTGAATGATATTGTATAAATGAATGTTTTCGTTGTGTGCGTGATATTGCAAGTTGCGGTGACAAAAGAGGATTTCGGTGACGCGCCAATTACGCTGATTACGGCGCTGGGCATGGACGTCATTGCCATTTCTTTTCATGTATGACATTAAGCTGCTGGTGGCAATTTTGGTCGCAGAAATTCGGTCGGCGACACAAAATACAAAAGATACCCCTGGACTAGCGGCGTGGGTTCCGCACTTATTACATCGAGCAGACGCAGAGCCCAATCTAAGGCTTTCAAAAGTCGACCAGACCATCGTACGATCCAAACACCAATTTCATGGACGGACAAAAACTCTCCACATGCTGAAAGTGCTTGCAAACAATTGGTGACTGAGTCGAGTCGTCCATGTCGGGCTTCTGACACTGAGGCTGTCGATAAGTTCAAGCATGACTCTCTGGACCTAGTGTAACTTGAGAACCAAACAGCAAAAAACTGCATCTGTTCAGTGGTATGCAACCGCTAGACACTCTGATCCCGATTATAGAAGACAGGGTGAGGGGGAGGGGGGGGGGGGGGTAGCGATGATGTCCGGCGCTGCCGGCCCGCTGATCAGCAGCTCTGGGCTCCTAGATGGGTGCGAAACTCTTACTTCCCAGTCCCGAAATCCTAGCGGGCGACCGGCCTGCGGGACCCCTAATTACTTTCATCGAAATTGGCATGATAGAATTCGGTTCATGGCTCTGTGAAAAGCAGGCCTTTCACTCGCGAACACTATGGCCTAGTACGGATAGTACGCCGTAGAGGGCTTGACCTACAAACTTGCTTCGGTGGGCGCTGGCACACAAGACGTAAATATATTCTGTCTCAAAGCATTTTCTTTCAAACATACGCACTCGCATGAACTGCATTGAGAGCAATGCGAAACAATTCAAGTTTTGAAGGGCTTTGTTCCCGACCGAAGAGAGCGGCCTGCAAGGCTGAAGGCCGATCACGGTAACCCGTCACTACATTTGTCCTACCTGAAAGTAGAAATCTAGTGCACTGACTAGGTCGATGTTTCTGGGGAAGCACTTGTTCTCCCGCATGAAGTAGGCAAGAGCGAAGTTCCTGTCAGACGTCTGTCGCTCCGACAGGAACACGGCGTTGTTAAAGCCCAGGTATTCGCCGCCCACCATTTTCTTGCACGTTTGGAAGGCGTAGTCGAACCGGTCGGCGATGTCCATCTCCGGCTGCAAGACACACACGGGAGAGTTAGCTGAGTCTTAGCCCATCACATTCGAACCTGCCAAGCTCTTCTAAAAATGTTGTGGGCCAAGTCTCACGCAGCACACCATTGTCACCAGCAATGAACGCTGGATGATTGTAAGACGCTGAAGAGGGCAGAATATGGCTTCTCATATTTGACATCACATAACTGTGGCAGTATGGCAACACAAGGACACAGCTTTACACCGCTTTGGACGGGAGCATAGGCTGGGTGTTGCGTGGTACGGCGAGCGCACCTTGATCAGGGTGGACACCATGATAGCCCCGGAGTTGATCATCGGATTGTGCGGCTTGTAGTTGTTGTCCAGGAAGAGTTCATTGAAACTCCTGCCACTGGGCTCCAATCCAACGTGCCTGGAAAGAACAGCAGTCAGTCATGGACGTTTTAATTATTTCTTCATTAAACTGCACCAGCCAGTACAATTTAAACAGTATGCCCTTTGGCCATGTTGTTGGAACTATTTGTTGGGTGAAACATTGATAACAATACAATTTTACTGAACCCAACTTAAAAAGTCTAACTTAGCAAATGCATCTAATGACAGCGAGGTTCTGTTAATAACGCAGGGACATGAAATATCCCTGTGTAGGCTTAAACATTAAATCGCTAAGCATTATGACTTCAGCGTCTTTTCATCCGACTCATAACCGCCCGATGGCGGTATCACGATGCAACAGCATTATCGCTATGTCCTAAAGCTTTGCCCTGGCCCTGTCACACTGCAAACGTTCAGGCCTTTACGATAAGGTACAAGCCTTTACGGCGTCATGCAGCACGCTGCAGAGGCACTAGCCTTATTACAGGCCTTTACGGCGTCATGGAACACGCTGCAGAGGCACTAGCCTTATTACAGGCCTTTACGGCG